GGTGGGAGCAGGGGAGGAGGTGGGTTGGTTTAGCAAGACCCTAGCTCATAGGAGCAAGTTTGGCATGGTGGGTCACACCTACATTTCTGGCTAGAGAGGCAGAGGTAAGAAGATCATGGTTCAAGGCTAGCCCTGAACAAAAAGCACAAGATCCCATCCAAAAAATAAAGTGAAAAATAAAGGGCTGGGGGTGTGGCTAAAGTAGTGGAGTGCTTGCCTAGCAAGTTTAAACCCCAGTACTGAAAAAAAAAAAAAAAAAAAAAGATGCTCTCAACTTACAATAAGATTACTAATAAACCCATCATTAAGTCAAGTATCATAAGCTGAAACTGCATTTACCATCCTGATAAGCCATTATAAAACTGAAGAATCCTAGGTCCAGCCACAATAACTCAAGGACCTCCTGTATTGTGTACCTAACATAGGAGAAATATAAGTGCAGATGTCAAGTACACAGGAAGATGCTGAGTTCAGAGCCGCCACCTTCACCCTCACAGGCGTTCCCAGGGCAGTGTATAAGGCTGTGTAGAGGGACAAGCTCAAATCCCTCAGCAGGATGTGTGAAAATCTGCACACTGGCCATGCTGGGCCCCAGTAACTAGTCCCTTGTATGACTGCGAAAACTTCCCCTTCAGCCAGGAAATAAATGCCAGCTGCCAGTTCCAGTTCTTGAACACTTTCCCTGAATTGCCTTCAACACAGACAACAGAGAATATATGACTTTCTCTTTATATACTTTCTACTCCCTTGTTGTGCAGTTGATATGCACAGGCATCATTGACCTATCACAGTGTGGTCTTACCACAGTATGCACACAACAGATCCCTTCCATGCAGTGCCACCCAGCAGAGTTTCCTAGGCATTGTGGAGTGCAGACATGCATCTTGTTGGTTGGAGGCACTTCCATGCCCTCTTCATGACTAAATATGGCCACCAAACCTCTTTGTACCTACACGTACCTCCAGTTTTCTCTCCCATCCATCTCCACCATTCCTAGGACACCCAATTAATGTTTTTGAAATTTTAAATTAATCGCTGGTAATCGATCATTGAACACCTAAATGTTGACATGCCTGTATGTTTTCTTTGTACTTTCAGTTGAATTTTATTTCAATGGAAATACAACACAAGTTTAAAACAATAAAGACACTGTGATTTAAACGACAATAAAGTCACTGTGATTTAAAAGGAGGGGAAAAAAAAAAAAAAAAACTATTTCTACTCACTTCTCTTGACCATGATGAAGTATGAGACCAGGTTTAAGAAACTCAAAACTCAGACAAAATATGTGAAGCAATGGTTCCTCAGGCCTGGGACAAAAAGCAGAACTGGAGTGCAGTTGAGCTGGAGTGAATTCAGAGGCAACAGTGACAGAACTGGGGAAGTGCTTAAGAATTCCTGGAGGACAAGACAGATGCCAGGGAGACAAGGACCCTGCAGACATGAGAGCAGGTGGTGAGGAAAAGACACAAAGCCCGGGAAGAAGGGATAAAATCTTCAAGCTTGCCTGACCTAGGACCGTTCAGATTCCAACAGCCAGTGCAGCTAAGTTTGACCACTTATGGGGCCCCTGAAAGCTCTGCATAGTGGGAAGAGAGTAGCCACGGACTGAAGGCTGGGAGGGTTCATCCTGTGCCAAGTGACTCAGGTATTCAAGCACAAATCTCAAAATCATTTAGAACAGCTGAAAAGGCCAGCACCCAGCAATATAAAAATTCACAAGGTCTGGCATACTATCGAACATTACCAGCATGAAAAGAAAAGGAAAATGCAGCCCATCATGAAAAGAAAAAAGATCCCTATTGTACAACTGACAGACAAGCATGGACACAGCTGGTGCTTTAATAGGTACTTAGCAACTGCTTTTACTTGCGCCCACAAGTTAACTTTCTAGTTAACTTAGCAGGATAAGAGCCTAATACCTCTGCCTGCCTTTGCATCTATCTCACCCTGGGGTACCTGGAGTGCCAAGAGTGAGGGATCACATCTTTAAGACAAAGACTGAACCTACCCTCAAGGAACAGCAGTCTTGCGAGACATACCACAAACCCAACTGAGGACAACTGCCTGTGATGGTGAGGTCACACCCTGGAGCCAGGCTGCTCCCTTCACTGGCAGCAGTAACTTCTCCAAAACCCCTGGGAGAACCAAAACCAACGTCACGACCGACCAGGCCACGCTCGGCTGCACACCTGGCGCCCTGCCGTTTCAGGGAGCACAGCACCCCTGGCGGTGCCCGCGCCCACGTCCGGATGGGCACTGCCCTCCCCTTTGCGCCTGCGCCCTGCCTACGACACACGTGCGGGCTTTTTCTTTCACTAGTGGAAGGGGAAGTCTCTCTTGCCCTGTCAATTCCTAGTCTGTATTCAGAGACGAGCCGAGCAGGTCGAGAGGCCCGTTCTTTAGGAGACCGGAGACCTTCACCGACCACGCGCACTTCCGGGAAGGCGGAGACTCGGGCATTCTGAGAGCCGCTGGCCAGCCTCACTTGGAACTTGAGGCAAGACCCGCTGAAAGATCAGCGACCCTAAACCCCGCAAAAAAAAAAAAAACTACCCCAAATGAAGGGCGTGGGGGCAAAAACAAAACCAAAACAATGACGTGCACGCGGCTGGCGGCCGGGCCGCTCGGGGCTTCAAACGCCTTAGAATAAGCCGGGCTGACCAGCGGCAGGTTTTCTGGGAACGGACCGCCCCACGGCGCTCCCGGCACAGGACGCAGGGCGCAGACGAGCAGGCGACGCGCCCGACACCACGGCCACACCCCCGCGTCGGTCCCCGCGCGCCGTCGCGGTCCGACGCCCATCCGCGCGCCCCTCTCCACACACCCCACGCGCCCCAAGACGTACGGACGTCGGCACGTTGGCGACGCGCGCGGGGCGGGGACGGCAAGCCTGCGCGGGTGGCCGTGACGTCAGCGTAGGGGCCCGAGGAGCATGCGCACTGAGGGAATCGGCGCCCTCAGCTTCTGGGCCCGCCGCGCCGTTCGCGTAGCGAAGCGGTGTCAGTGAGCATGCGCGACTGGACCGCTGGCGCAGGCGCGAGCATGCGCATTGCGGTGTACGCGCCGGGGAAGCGGGTTGCTACGGCAACAGCGAGCGGCGGGCCCCCGAAGCCTAAGCAGACCGTAACGGTTCTGCGTGGAGAGAGTCGGGCGTCGGTGTGCGTGGCGCTGAGAGACGCGGCCGCAGGGGAGCCGGGTCCTGGCGCGGAGGGCCGGGTCAGCGTCCTTAGAGGCGGCTCAGAGCCGGGCCGGGGACCGCGGGCGGGCTGGCCCCTGGGGACGTTGTCTGTCCCCTTGCTGTGACCGTCCTCCCTCCCGTAAGCTGAGCAAGCCCGGCGCCGCCGACCCTGAAGAGGGCCGCGCTTTTAAGGGATGTCACCTGTCGCCTAAAAACGCTCCAATAAGGAACTCAGAAGCGACGACAGAGCTCTGGAACCCTATTTTTTAAAGTTGTATGTTGTGCCTGGGGTGCGCACTTTTACTTGGCATGGTCATGACTTAGCTTTTGGTCACTGGGACAAATTGGTGACTAATTACTTTGGCACCACAATGCTGTCACTCCTTAACAGTGTCCAGTAGCGGGTTTATAAGGAGTGTCACCCATTGCAGCTTTCCAGAAGGGACAGATAGGTTTTGAAGAAGTCCACCGATCTCCGCGTAGGTTTTCTTACTGATCTGTGAAGTTTCCAGTATTTAAACTCTGAATTTTAAATTCCAAAATTTGATTCTTTAGGACGTTAAAGCTCCTATGGAACCGCTTAAAAAAGCTCTTGCCTTGACACGAATCACGGTGGCGCAGAGTAAACAGACTTCAGATAAAACTGTAAATATGTACCAGTGGTTATGGTAATTATGATTATCAAAAATTAAACCATTTTAGTAGGATGCATTTTTTTTCCCTGCCAAGTTACAGGCATCTTGAACTTAGAAATTTCTGATTACGATCTTTCAGTGTGTTAAGTGCGTTTATCATTTCTCCGGCCTCGGCTGTGGTGATGGGAATTGGATTATCACAGACTGCATAAGAATTGAACTGCATAAGAAAGAATTGTCAGGGAGTGGTAAAAATGTCCTCTGGCTTCTACCAGATTTGACTTGCTATGGATCCCCTTTTTATTCCTAAACCGGGTGTCTCAGTGCATTAATTTCTATCGTCATTACTTTCCTCCTTGGCAAGTTTACTTTCTCTGTTCTGCTTTAGTACAGGTGTTGGTCCTTATATATTTTTTTTCTATTCTTTTGAGGAATGGAACCCAGGACCTCACAAATGCTAGACAAATTCTCACAACTCAGCTATCCCGGATGCCTAATTTCTTCCTAGTCTTAAAGTTAAGCCCTCCATACTATTTCCTAGGTTACTTGAATAACTTTTTTCTCTCCATTCTAGTACATTTTGGATTCTTACCTTCATAAAATATATCATTGTCCTAATACGAAAATGGCTAATTCTAAATTCTTCCCCCAGCTTTAAAAGGGAATTGGAGCAAAACTAACCATTACAGGGTATCCTCTGTGCAAAGGTCCATTTGATCCTTACAAATTTTTTTTCTTATTTAATCTGTGCAGTGACTGGAATGCCAGTATTTTTGTATCTGCCTTATAGATGAGGAAACTGAGATGCAGATGTGTTAGGTATCTTTCCTAAAAATGTATAGAGCAAGGTTGGAACCCATGTTATCTGTTCCTTATATTCTGAACATCTGTGTATTACACAGATTGAAGGTAGCCAGATTCCTCTTCCATCTCCATGTCTTCACTGTTCTTTTCTCCTCTGATAACACACCAGGCTGATTTCCTAACTAAGTGCCTTTGCTCCTGAGCATAATGTTCTTTTCTCTGTTCTTCACATTTCAGTTTAAGTGTTATGTCTAGGATGTTCATTTACTACTCTTGGATCTTTTGGGTCTGAAATGTTGTTGTATTTGTGTATAATGTTAAGTTTTCTGATGCATTGTTTATGTGTTCTCTCCAGCTCAGAGGTGAACTGTTTGAGGACAGGGCTGACTCTCCTCAGGTAATAACTGGTATATTGCTCCCTTTCTTCACATCCAAACATGAATCATGGGCTGCACTGCAGAGGGCATTACCATCATTATCCCTTATGAAGGGTTTTGAGCTGCATGCTGACTCTCTATCTGACTGTTTTTACAGCAAAAAATGAAAGGAATGTGATGTGATGTGAGGATAGCATTTGTTACAGCCAACCCACAGCTTTTCCTGATTCAGCATGTTAAAAAATAAGGTACACCCTCCTTCTAATAGCAACACATGGTTTTACTCCTGGAATGTATTTATCTCAGCATTTTGAGAGGATAAAAGCAGCTTATGAACTTCACTTCCACTGGGACTTAAGAGCAGGAGTGGGAGATGCCTGTAGAATGGGCAGTGGACAGACAGGTGCAGGAGTGCTGCCTGCAAGCCTGTGCTGGCTGTAGGTCACTGTTATTCTGCAAAGGAAATGTATTAATTTTCACAGAAAAGCTCGTGCCCAAATGCAGGATTCTTTTTAGTACTTGCCTGGAGTCTAATTGAGGCAGCATGAGTTTGTTTAGGCATGCACAGTGTTATAAGCCACAGTGAACTTATGATAAAATGAGGGCTTTGGTATTTAAATGAAAGATGTCCCTGTGGTGTTACCTTAGGTGACCCGGGTTTGCTCTGAGTTAGGTAGCAATGGCTCCACACTTCTTTACCATTCGTGGAGTTTGAAAGCCTCAGTTTTCTTCTGGGTGATGCATTATGTAGGTTCTGGTGAATAAGACTCTTTTCCTCCTTTTTAGGCTCATTCATTTAAAAAGGATAACTTAGCAATCACTGCAGTGGCCTTACAAGATCACATTTTACATGATCTTCAACTTGGAAATCTGTCGGTTGCAGATTATTCTAAGACAAATGTACCAAGGAAAGAGATCAGGTCAAAATCTCTAAAAAGGGATGCAAAAGCAGTGATAGACAGTGGACTTAAAAAATCTGCACAGAGCCCCAAAGCAGAAGATCCAGAGAAAGAGTATGTTCTTGATCCCACACCACCACCGTTAACCTTAGGTAAGCAAATCTGGTTATACAGATGTTGGCATAGGAGTGGCAATGAACGTGTTGAGTTTAATGATGTAGTGTTTACAGTGTAGAAATGGTTTGCTTAGACGAAAAGGTATACATGTATTGAAGCTTAGAAATGATAGGGACAATTTGAGCAAGAAAATAAAGATTATTATAATAATAAGACTACGAACACATAATAGAAGAAACATCCATTAATCCACACTGAGAGAGATAAATAACTGGATAAATAAGTAATGGAAAAAAATAAATGATGGAAAAGAAAAACTCTTATAGTGGAATGACAACTAATTACAGCAGATGGGATGACAGAAAAATCTCCATTTGTCAGACACCACTGTAATGATCAGTAGATGGTGACTCTAGTGGGAAAATTACATTGAGATGCAGGTTGTGTTCTGTCACAGTATCTCCCCACGCCCGTATCCACTCCAAAGGAAAAGAGATCACATGATGGTAACCCTTGGCAAATGGCTTCTCAACCAAGCAAAGTGACGTCACCAATAGTGACACATACCAACATCTTCAGCCTGCTAATAAAAAGTGTGACAACTCCTCTGTGGCATTCTTGCCAAAAACGCATATCTGAATTTAATCATGAAACCTCAGACCCAAATTGAGAGACATTTTGCACAGGTTCCTGCCGGAGCTCTTCAGAAATCTCAAGAAAAGCAAAGCTCTGGAAATTGTCCTAGATTGTAGAAGACTAGGGACATGCTTCCTGTGCAGCATGTAATCCCTGGTCTGATCCAGTTCAGAGAAAAGAACACAGTGAGACCATGAAATCTGAGTAAGGTACGCAAACTACAGCAGCCCCCTCACCTAAGGCTACCAGGGGGCTGCATCCCAAGTCCACCAAGGAAGTCTTAAGACTGTGGATACACACCTGTGATGATGTCTACTTAGTAAATTAGGCACCGTGAGAGGTTAACAACAATAATAATAAAGGCAGCAATCGTAACCATATACTGTGATAAAAGTCAGGTGAACATGGCCTCTCTCACTCTCACGTGTCCTGTGGTACCGTGTTCACCCTTCTTGTGCTGATGGGAGATGATGCAGTGCTGCCTGTTGAGCTGAAGTGAGGTGAGGGACGTGGACACTGATGAAGCCTTAGCTACTGTTGACTTCTCACGAGACAACCAGGAGGACTTGCTTTGGGTGGCCCTGGATCACTGAGCTGTGACGTTGATGGTTGGATGTCAGGGGCAGACAGTGTCGATGGCCAGGGGCCTCGCATCGTTGAAAGGTTTTTTTGTGCTTCCAGAAGAGGCACGTCATTGCAGTTGAAGACCTGCTTGAATGGTGTCTCTTCTCCTCACTCTGCTGGAAGGCGGCAGCAGTGATTTTTACATTTTCCACTCAAAACCTCTCTCTGAGTCTGGGTAACCATCCTCACTTGTAGTGAATTGTTGGTGCCTGTCATTTCAGGGGATCCCTTGCTTCCTGAAGTCTTTGTAGGCTCAGTGCTTAGTGACACAACACATTGCTGTAACGGGGAACCATTTTCTGTTCATGTCTTCCACCCATAAGATTAATGCCTTTCCATGTTAACTAGGCCCCTGTCATGCATGTGCTGGTAACTTTTGCAGCTTGAGGTGCAACAGCAAAAGTAGCTGGCATTTTATTTTACCTTCACAATTTTGTGGATAGAAGATTTGCTCTTACTGTAGATCTTTGCAACCTTAGCATACAGTTTTTTTTTTTCTTGTGAAGTCAAGAACTTTTACCTTTTCACTTAAAGGAAGCACTTTCCTTCTGCTCTGTGGCATATCTGAATGATCAGCACCACTGCTCTTGTGGTTTGGGACCATTATTAACACAGGGCTGCAGTGCCACAGTCACTGTGGTAACAGACAGCTCCAGAGTGACTAAAGGGCAGGTAGCATGTAAAGCAGGGTACCTTGACACTAGAATCCCAGGTAGGATAGAGCTTAGGACAGTGTGAGATTTCATCATATTACTCAGAATGGCTCTGTGTGAACTTGTGAATTATTTCTGGAATTTTCCATCTAATATTTCAGACGGCAATTGACTGGAAGGAGAAACTGGAGCTATTGTGTCCTGGTACAAGGTGATAGAGACCAGTGGCAGTAGGAGGCCTGTGGAGTAGAGCTGCACAGTGTCGAGAGGAATCTGCTCTACAGCTGTGCCCAGTGGTTACTTCACTGTCTTCTCTGAACATCTGCTAGCAGTGCTGGTTCTCTTGACTTGCTTCAAAACATGCTGGATTGTCTCTATTGTGTTCATATAGTTTACAAAAGTGATCAAATAGCTTCATCATACTCAGTCTTTAAAATTTTATCTGGAAAGATTTAAAGTAGGCATTAGGAGGACTGTCCCAGTTTGGAAAAAAAGTAAGGTTATTATAAAGTCAATTAGTAATTTTTCAGAAGATTGATGGATCAGTCTGTCTTGCTATGGAATCTTGCTGTGGAGCTCATACTGGCCTCGAACTCAAGAGTCTCCTACTTAGACTTCCCAATGTTGGAATTACAGGTGTGCACCATCACACCGAGTGTTTCAGGATCTTCTTAAAAAGAAAAACAAACATTGTGTATATCCAGTACTAATGAGCTTCACATTCCACCTGGATTTTCTGTCTCTTCACACTGACTGTTTCACATTCTTTGTGTGCTCTGTATATGAATCTCTTGTGATTTGACTACTGAAGACATCAGTCCACCATGTCTGTTTAGCTTTATTTGTTCTTTTATATCGAATACAACTTCATTCTTATTGATGTTCACTTGGTTTTTCACTTTACGGTTTGCACTTTGGGAGATTTAAGAATCCTCCATTCTGAGATTGCAAAGATTTTCCTATGTTATTTTCTAGCCTTTAAAGTTTTGTCATTCGTTCAGACCATGCTTGCCAGTTTGTTTGCTTACTGGGAAAATTAACTATAAGAATTGTTAAATTCTTCCTTGGGCTTTGGGTTACATTCTTCCTGTTCATGGCTTCTGTTTCTATGTCTCTCTCTCTTTTAATGGATATAGTTTTGTACTGCATCTTTTCTTGTGGTCCTGGGGGTTGAACTCAGAGCCTCACGCTTGCTAGGCAGGCACTCTGCCACTTGACTTTTTGCTTTAGTTATTCTTTGGATATGCCTGTGATCCTCCTATTTATGCTTCCCACATAGCTGGGATGACAGGCACATGCCACCACACCCAGTTACTGGTTGAGATGGGATCTCACTAATTTTTTCCCTGGGCTGACTCAAACCACAGTTCTCCTGATCTCTGCTTCCAGAGTAGTTGGGATTATAGGCGTGAGCCATGGTACACAGCTTGTAATATGTCTTAATAGGTGACGGAGAAAAACCCTTCTTATTTTTCCCCTAAAATGGCTTTATTCATATAATTCTGCTGGAGATTCTTAAATTTAATTGTACTGATTAATCAGTTGGGGGAAGGAACATGCTGGCAGTGCTACCATCCGATCCACAAATATTGTGGAATCGTAACTCCATTTGGGTCATTCTGTCTCCAGCTCCAGGGTTTGCCAAGTCAGTCTTGGGTCTGCAGTGATAGTCACTGCCCCTCTCTCTTTCTTTTCTTCACATGGTTTGCCGTGGCCCACGTCTCCTAAACTGTGCTGACACAGCTAGTACTTCTTGGCGTTTCTGTCTTGTTCTGTAAGCTAGCACTTGTCATTTCTCCATTTGTGTGGTATTTGCTCTTCACTTATTGTTGCTTGCTTGTCCTTAATTATGGAATTTCCCTTTAAATAAGTGTGTAGAGTTTTTAAAATCATAAGTAGATATACGTCATGAAATGCTTTTTTCTGTTGAGATCTATTGAGATGCTCTTGCTTATGAGTTTTCTTCTTCAGTTCATTTGTGTAATAGAAAACATGAATACACTCTGATGTTGAACTCCCTTGTGTTCCTTGAGTGTAGAGCGGAATAGCTTCATTTGATCACAGTGGGTTTTAAATGCATGTTGATTCTGGCAATGGATCCTCGTTCAGGAAGTTTACACCTTTGCCAAAGAGTCCTCTGGACTGTTCTTGTACTGTCTTGTCTGGCTTGATTGTTGAGGCTGTGTTAGCTGCATAAAGGAAGTGGGGAGGCTCTCCTGCTTTAGAATCTTGAAATAACACGCAAAACGGGGACAGGTCCCTTGAACGTCTGGGATGTATGGGCTAACTCACTTGTAAAATCACCTGGCTTGCCCCTCTTTTTTCTTTTTTTTCCTTGGTGGGGTGGGGAGTGGTAATCAGTTAAGATGCATTTGGCTGCATAGAACCAACTGTGTAGTACAGCCAGCCGAGAATGACGTAAGCCCTGAGAAAATGAGTGGTGATGCCAGCATCTGTCAGGTCAGCCTCTTCCCACTCTGCTCGTGGTGCTGCCAATGGTGCCCACATGGACAGAGATCTGCACAGTTCAGGGTCAGCTTCTCAATAGTGTGGGTACTTCACCTGAAGGAGGCCTCAGTGGTAGTGTAAGAATGAGTAAGGCATGACCAGATTGCCGTGATGTGCTTAGAAGAGCATGGTGCCTCTTGCCCGTCTGCCTAGTGTGATGGGTTCTCCACCAGGAAGGAAGAAGGCCCAGAGCCTGCTGGAATGGAGTCAATTCAAGCTTTCTGTTTCTTCTAATGACAGTTTTAATATTTGTATATTTTCCCAGAAGTATATTCATCTCATCTAGATTTACAGATGTGTTAGGAATATAGTTCTTAACATTATTTTTTAACTTTTTAAAAATTAAGACCAGGCATGGTGGTTCACAGCTGTAATCCCAGCACTAAGGAGGCTGAAGCAGGAGGATCAGGTCCTGACTTTGAGACCAACCTGGGCTACATAGGGAGACCCTGTCACCAAAAACCAAAAAGCTATGTATGATTATTTCCTAATCTTTTTTATTCTATACTTTGATTATATTGTCCTTTTTATTTTTATTAGTGTTTTCAAAAATGTCTCTGAGAAAAATTAATTTGGTTTAATGTTAGTCTTGGCTTTCTTCTTGGTGCCTGTTTTCTTGACATTTCTTCCCTTGTTCTTGTTATATCCTTTCTGTTTCTTGAGAATTGCTGTATTTCTATTTCCTAATATCTGGAGTTAACCACGTAATCCATTTGTTCCCAGACTTCCTGGCTTCCCAGCAATCCTGTGCAGAGTTATCCATGCCTGTGAGTTGCAATTCAGCTCTCGTAGCCACTCAGCTTCAAGAATCAAACTTCTTAATTTTCTTTCTGGATTTTTTCCTTCAGCCCAGGCTCCTGAGGCACATGGCTTGAGCATCCCCATCCAGACATCCAAACTCTGAAACTCTGAGTGAGTGCTCACAGACAAGATTTAGGGTTTCGGATTTCCACATGAGGGATGCAGATTGGTAAAATCCCAAACTCCAAAATCTGAACCCTTCTGGTCCCGAGAGTTCCAGATCAGGAACTCCAGCAGTGCATATTCTAGTTGAGGCATGGTTATTGTTCAGGAGTTTTTTTTTTTTTTTTTGAAAGTTTTGATGCTGCTATTTTAAAGTAAAATTTTTATTTCAGAACAAGTTTAGATCTCCAGAAAAGACAAAGAGGTAGCCCAGACTTCCTGTGTGCCCACTTTCCCCTGATGGTATCATTTTACCTTATCATGGTTCATTTTGAGAAACTAGAAGCCTGCTTTGGCATCTGCCTGTGGGTTAGGGTTAGCTGCTGTCCCACCAATGCCCATCTCTGCTCAGAATCTCCTCGTTGTTCATGGCCTTGCCATTTGAGGCATGATAGTCAAGTAGCTCATAGAGCGACCCTCAGTTTGGGTTGGTCACAGGCTTCGCTCATGATTTGACTGGAGTTATGAATGGTTTATGGGGAAACACCACAGGACGAAGTACCCTCTTCACTGGGGTCCAATGAAGGGCATGTGGCCTCTTGCCACTGCTGACGTTGGCATGATTAAGAGGTGCCTGCCAGGTTTCTTCACTGAAAAGCTACTTTCCCCTTTCCAGAATCTTCACTGTGCATAGCCTGCAAGGGTCAGGAGGTTCCACCTCCTTGAAAGGGGAATGCCTGTCTGTGTGTTTGGAATTCTTCTGTACGGAAGGTCTCTCCTCCCTCCATGTACTCATTCGGGTGTTGGTAGTGGTTCAGACCCATGTGCATTCACTTTACCCTGGCACAGACGTCAATACTGTTACCATTTCCTTCTTCCTTCCTATTATTACCTTTGGCCACTGCCTCAGGTTGGTCTGCTTTTCATTTTGTGAACTACCTTGCTTTCTGCCATTTCTCCAAGGAGCCCTGGTTCCTTTCCCTGGAGACTGGTGTTTAGCAATCAAGGTCTGGGTGCTCTGTGTGCTTCTGACTTTAGACATGGCCTGGCGGTCAGAGAACACAATGTAGTTATGTCGTTGGGTACTTTATAAATATGTGCATATTGTACATTATCTATGCTACATATATTTCCTGTTACCTGTGATGTACACAAGCACATGCAAGGCTGGGCTTGTGTGCTAGGGAAGGCGGATGCCAGGACTTGAAGCAGTGCCACATGGGGCTGGGATGGAGCAAGTGATGCCGGCTGTCCAGCTGTGACCCTGCAGCCAGGTGGACTGCACTGCTTTCTGCTTCGTCCCTGGGGTATTGTCTGGTGACCAGCTGCTTCAGTTTGCAGTTTTTCAGCAGACCACACCTCTTTTCCCTCCATCTGGATGTAACTGCTTTACCCTGCAGGCCTTTATTCTAGGTTGCTTTGGGAAAGTAACCTCTGGGTGGTTTTGTTTAAAATCTTCCCTCTCTACCTTCTCTCTTCCTGCTGGCATTTCTGTGTCTCCAGCGCCCCATGCCTACACCAATGCCCTCGCTGTCTTGCCTTCTGCGTTTTGCAGTGTCTTTTTATCTTCTTCCTGTGAGATTGCTTCAGCTTTCTCACCCAGCCTTTCATTGCTCGTTCACATTTCTACTGTGAGATTCCCCACAGCTGAGAGTTTTCTGTCCCAGTGTTTCTCTCCATGGCTTCCTGTTCTTGTTTGCAGATATCATAACTGTGTATCTCTGCTCCTTCCAGCACTTTGCCTGGGGATCATTGCAGCTACTTTTTCAAAGCGAGTGTTTCCCACTGGGATACCAGCTCTGTTTCTGATCCAGACTAAACGTGCTGTTGGATTAGGAAAGTCGCCCTGACAGCAGGGGAGGCATGTGATGGGGTGCACTTAGTGAGGCAAGATGCCTTGAGGAAGGCAGTGCTCCAGGCCTAGCTAGTTAGGTGAGCAGCAATGAGGAGGAATGTGGGGAATTTGTATTCAGTTTTTCTTCTGTAAAGTTGGAGAGGATTCTGCTTGCTATGGGATTATTGGGACCATTACATAAGATTCAGGGATATCTTTGTAAACAGAAGCTTAGATCAAAAGCAGCAGTCTATATGTTGTGACATGAAGTGCGAGCTGTAGATTACGGCTTTGTTGTTTGTAGTCGCATCACAGTCACAGATGAATGCATATGCTAGCATACATATGGCTAACATTCTGTGTCTACCTGCAGCTCAGAAACTGGGCCTCTTGGCGCCTCCCCCATTGCCACTGTCATCAGATGAATGGGATAAAGTGAAGCAGAGATCGGTGCTGCACGGGGACTCCCTGCAGCCATGCCCGATATGTAAGGAGGAATTCGAGCTCCGACCACAGGTGCTTGTCACGCAGAGATCAGGTTTGCTCTCTAGGGATAGACCGTCCTGCACGAGGCTGAGTATGCTGGGCCTCGGTGTCCCATTCTATCCTCCTGTGTGACTCTCAGATACTTACCTTTCCTTTACCACCCATTAAAAGTGTGTGTGTGTGTGTGAGTGTGTGTGTGTGTGAGTGTGTGTGTGTGTGTGTGTGTGTGTGTAAAGAGTGAAACACCCACTGATCAGTGCGTTACTTCTACTGCATGATCCTGTGTGTGGTGCACAAGTTCCACAAAGGAGGCTTCTGCTATAGTGAGTTGAGACAGCTGGAGTGTGCAGAAGGCAGTAAAGGCCAGTGCAGGATGGATGAATGTAGGGGTAGTTGAGGTATTTTGTCAGTTGAGTCATGCGAGAGAAGAACTGTGCTTAAATATCTTCAAAGAGTCTATGGGAGAATTGTTAGGTAAAGCAAGGTCATCTTCACAAAACTGTTGTGGTGAGCTGGGTGGCACTCCCTGGTGTGTCGATGGAGATGAGCCACAGCACAGCCTGTTGCTGTGCACTCTGCCCAATTAAACTCAGCACCTGAACGTCAGGGACGCTGCTCTCGGTGTTGGGGCACTAGTGGTGGTCTGCAAGGATTGTGTATAGTGTGCAGCAGTTGGCTTCCTGCATGCAGGCACCTGGAGACCAGTGCAAAGCACAGCACATGCACTCAAAGCCAGGCTTGGAATTCCCCACCTGGGACTCCAGCTTGCTTCACTGTCTGCCTGGCAAACAGACTCCCAAACTGAGCTACTTTCAAGAACTTTCTGTATCATGAGCAAGTTCAGAATCATTAGACTTTTGTTCTTTACTAATTTGAATTCACAAGTTGTTTGAACCGTCCTTATTATATTTGGGTTCTCTGTCAGGACCCAATTGTACATATGTGAGAGTTGGGTGTTTTGGAAGGATTTTTAGCCCTTGAACCACAGAACTGCCCCTGAGGATAATTTATAACTTACTGCTTAAGTGTAGCAAGAATTAAAAAAGCCATAGAAAACATTTCCAGCCCTAGCAACTTCTCTCTTAATTATCCTACAAGCATTTAGGCTGATTGTATGAAGAATGAGATCTTAAGGGGTGTCAGGGTGTATCCTGTCCGATATTTCTTCCATTCCGTTTTATAAGTTCTCACTAACTTCTATCATTTTTGTTGGTTAAATATACTAACCCCATTTGGGTTTATTTTGTGCTTGTAGTTATTTCCAGGTCAGCTTTTTCCTTACTTAAAAATAGTAGTTGGAATTTCCCTAACACTGAATGATTTTTTTAGAGGGCCTTCACTTAATCTCATATTTCTGAGGTAGACAATATACCCATTTAGCAAAAGAGGAGGTCATTCAGATGCCTCATAGTAGGCCAGTTCAGAAAGGACGGCAGACTCCAGCTGGAATTTAATCCTAACCTGTAGGATATTTTACTGTGATTATCAACACTTATGTATTTTTGATAAGTCAGAAAATGCTTGCCAATAATGAATGTTTATGGACTTCAAGGGTATAATATTCTAGAGTTAGGGGCATGGATCAAGTGGTAGAATGCTTGCCTAGCAAGCACAAACCCCATTACTGCTCGCCCCCAAAATAGTATAATATTTTAAATATACAGAATGTTATTCAGTGTAGATTATCAAATAATTACTCATAAAGCACTTTGAAGGGTTATTCTTCCGAGAATGAATATAATTGAGTTTAGAGATGATTTTAAACACAATTTATTCAAGTTAGACTGAGTTCTATGTCTTACAATATTTCTTCCTTCATTGCCATTTAAGAAGAAATACAGAGTGAGCAAAGCCAGGTGGGAGGGGCCCTTTGAAAACCGGGAGCCGCTCTACCTCCAGGCCTGGCTGTCTCCCCAGGAAGATCAGAGGCTGCACTCCCTGGAGTAGATTCCTGATGAAAAGGGAGCCGGCTATGCCAGCCCACCCCTCTCACCCTGCGCACTGCCCTGGTCTTGTCACTCTCCTGGCTTCCTCTCCCTAAGCACTAGCTACCTTTTTCTTTATTTGGTTTAAACTTGAATATTTTGTCCCAGGTCTCAAAAAAATGGAAGTTTTCTTATGAGCCCATTTTCCCTGCATTTAAAAAAGAAAAGGTAATTCCTTTGTCTCCATGATTTCTTTCTTTTTTTTGTTTTTTTGGTAGTAGTGGGGTTTGCGCTCAGGGCCTTCCACTTGCTAATAAGCAGGTGCTCTACCACTTGAATGATGCCCTCAGCCCTCCATGATTTCTTCTCATTTGAATTTAAGATGACTAGAATTACAGCTCAGTAAAGCTTCAATTTTTAAAAACACAATGGTGTAATTCAGTTGCATAAAGAAAGGTATTTACTTAGATTTCTCTGCCTACACACCAGGAGGAATGGTCCTCTCCTTTTGTACCCTCCCCCCCATTGACCCTGAATATACCTCATAGGCCATCACTGTCACTGTTGCACTGTTAAAGAGACACTTTCATAGCTTAATATCAAACTTGACGTGCTTACTCAGTACTGCAGGTCGTTAACTTTGTCCTCCTGTGTGGATCACACACTTGAGCTGTACTAAATACAGAGTAGTGTGTATGTGGCTTACCTGTAAGCATTCAGGACTGCTCTTGTAGTGGATACCTTTAGTAACCCAGTGCTTTCTGTCTCCTGGGAACAGGTGCTGCTGTCCTGCTCTCACGTCTTCCACAAGGTGAGTGGCCCTGGCCTGGGCCAGAGTCCTTCTCTGGCTCACCAGCCAATACATTTAAAGTCTCCCCAAAGGGCTGTTTTACCCATAATCACCATCCGAGATTAAAAACATGACTTTAGGCTACAGTGCAATTCATCCTGTTTGGAAAATGATGAATTTTAAGTGACAGAGGAACCACAGATGTTCGTATAACAGATTGCTGTTGTTACTATACATCAAAGCTCATGACGGCTTAATTCCTGCCACCTATCTCATGGTAGTCTCACAGAGAGTATGGCTTATTTTTACACCAGTTGGTTTTCAGAAGTTTTTGATGTCTCTGCATGTATATGCTTGTAAATATCATTTTGGGAACGGGTTTCATGAGGAGGGTGTTAACACCTGATGAAACTAATTTAAATTGGACTGAGTCTCATAATTATGAGAGAAAGGAACAGTATAATTACATTTGAAGTAAAAATGTTGTTTATAAGTAATTACTCGTAAAATTTTAAGTGAAATATTTTTCTTTAGGCATGCCTTCAGGCTTTTGAAAAATTCACAAATAAAAAAACCTGTCCTCTCTGTAGAAAGAACCAATATCAAACCAGAGTGATACATGATGGGGCCCACCTGTTCAAAGTAAAGTGTGCCACAAGGTAAGAAGGCTCCTGCCAACCTGCTGGGACCTCAGGGCCTGTGAAGTGAAAGCAGGCTTTTGGACTCAAGCTATGACAGCCAGTTGTCAAAGATGGGGTTGTAGTTCTAGTCTCTGCCACTGTTGCCTCCCTGGACAGGCCAGCAGAGGGCTGTTAGAAACACTGAAATATTTTTTGGAATCAAGTCAGCATAGGGTAGTCACTCTCAAATCTCTGTGTTTTAGAATTCAAGCCTACTGGAGAGGGCACGTTGTCAGGAAGTGGTACAGAAATCTGAGGAGAATGGTGCCTCCCACAGACGCCAAGTTAAGGAAGAAGTTCTGGGAAGAAAAGGTGGGTGCAGCTCGTTCATTCACTTCTATAGTCTGTGCAGGTGACCGTTCAAGGTGAGGAAGGCCAGCCGGGGCAGGACAACTGTGAGCCTCACTTCATGTGAGGGCTTTTAAAAACGTTGAGAGACTGTTCAGAGTTGTGTTCAACTCTGTGACTTTCCAACCTCAGTGCATGAAACTGTAGTAAGTTAAATTCAAATTAGCCTTTGTTTGGCCATTTTGTGCCATTTGTCTAAATAAACAAATAAAACGATAAAAGAATAAAGTAAACTTGAGTTTTCACATCCCTTGATCTGTGAGCCCAGAGATGCCAGAGTCAGGCCTGTGATGCTGGTGGGAATGGAGCCCTTGCTCTGTCACGCTGGGAGCCAGCCGCCTACACCAGGTCACAGAAACCACCTCCTGTCTACTCTTGCTTATAAACACCTTTATCTTTTATTACCGCATTGGAGGGGCTTATTGAACAGTTTTCCGCTCTTGCCCCTGTACTAACAGTACAGGCATGTCATTAGGGGCCAGCCTTCCAAGGTCAGTTTTTTCCTGCCCACTGCAGCTCAGTGGTTCAAGCCCAGGGACAGCTGCCCCCGTGGCTGCATCCCTCACCTAAGATAAGAAAGTTGCCACTTGTACCTTGCAGCACTGGCCTGAGAGTTAGACACAGTGGCACTGCAAATCCTATGTCCATTGTAAATGTTAATATCTTGTCCAGGTTAATTTCCACACTCCTTGTCTTAGAATTGGCATTTGTGTTTCACTGTTTACTATTGCACAGCTTCAAATCACTAAGATAAAACTCCTTCGCCATGCATCCCAGCAGTTGGAAGGCTGAGAAGGAGAATTGTCTGAGTCATAAAGCAGTAGGATTTTTTTTTTTTTCTAATACCTTCCTGGTCACTTAAGTATTTTCCCAAGCCCCATAGTTATAAGTTCATATAAAGGTGTAAAAGTAAACCGGGACATTGATTATGCTTTAGATTTAACCAAGAAAAGTATTTGCATTTCCCTCGGGAGTGGGGCATAATCACATGCAATATGGATATGACAGCAGTGGTCCCAAGGTCAGAGAGGTGAGGCCAGTGCTTGGCAAGTGCAAGAAGCCCTGAGACGCTGTCCCATCCTGGTCTGGGGAGGGCTCCTGCCTTGACAGGTGATGGCAGACACAAGTGGTGAGGCAGAGGCTCTGGAAACAGTCTACAAAGCAGCATTTGGAATGAAAAGTATATTCTCCGTGGTGCTGGTGTCCCCCAAGGCTGAATTGGGAACAGAGGATATTTAGAGCAGGGCCAGAGTTGTCAAGGAAGGAACTCTGTCCTGTTTGTGTTCAGTGTCAGTCAGTGCAAAGCTACCTACTTTCTGCCTGCCTCTTTCTCAAGCAAAAACAGCAAATTGCTAAAAGCCCTGATAGTTAACTAAATAGTTAACGTGCTGCCTTCGCTTTTTTGTGGTTCACTGTTCCTCCTTGACTGCGGAGAGCAGCAGTGCTTCCTCTTGCAGTCTCAGCTTTGTCCTCGCCATACACCAAGATAATCGTCTCAACCAAATGTACAGCACTGGCAGCTGGGCCAGTGTAGTGTTTTCCAGACAGTGTCTTCCAGCTCTAATCAGAGGTCATTGCTCTCCGGTGCTAGTTCATTCTCCATTCATGACTGACTGCCTGCCACGACTTATTCCATCCTCTGTCCTTTCCTTGCGCTCGGTGTTCAGTTTTGTTCTGAGTCATCTGTTGGTTGTGTGAGACAGGGTCTCACTGTTTTGCCCAGATCCTCCAGTAAGCTGGGGCTGCCAGCATGTGCCACCACACCTAGCAACTTGCTGTCATGTGTTGGCTTACAAACCAGAAGTCATCCTTTTGTCTTTGAAAACTTTGCCTTCAGTTTCGGTGGTCATTTTCTTACATTTGTAAAATTTTCAGGTGCACATGTCATCTTACAGCAGCTTTCGGTTTAGGATGCACTTTGCTCTCACATAAAGCAGTCAGTCAGGAGACTCCATTGATGGGCCTAGCTGCAAGTGTTCATTTATCTTTGATTGTGTAAGATGTGAAAGACCTGATGCTGCTAGGATGTTTTCAGAACCCAGAATACATTGCAGAAGTCTTAAGTCTACAGCTGACGCAAAGCCAGCATGGGGGCGTCTCAGGCCTGGCTCACCATACTGCCTCTGTGGCAAAGGCTCTGCTCTGTGGCTCAAAATGCTTTCCAGACATTGAGAACATTTTCTGTATCTTTACAACCACTGTCGTTCTTCTTAGAACTTTGTAACCTCTGCAAATGAATCCTCCCAACTCACTAAACATTATTTTCAGTTTCACTACGAAAAATAAGGAAAACCAGGTCTAGTGGGCAAGTGAACAATAGGCTCTGTCCATGCCATGCCCTGTCACCCGCCAGAGAAGGGCGTTGTTCCTCGTGCTCAGAACTGGGTACCTGGTGGGGGGAGGGGCTTTGGAGTCCCCTGTGCTCCTCAGCACTGGCTTTATGGATTCAGTGACAGTTTCGCTGCCACTTCTCTGAGGAGAGGAACACAGTGGCATCTCTATCTGTCTGCTCCAGACCAGTGTTCCCAGCTCCCTGAAGGCCCCCTTCTGCTGCTGGGCCTGGTCATCCTCCCTGCTGTGCTACCCTGCATGCACCTTCCCTCTGCGCACCTGTGCTAGGAGAACCTGAGGACACCCATATGTGTGCCGTTGCTGCTTGTACCCTGCTGCTATGGAAAGTACCCATTTTTGAGGCCAGTACAGAGTAGCTGTAATCCCAGCTACTTGGAGGGTGAAGAGTGGGAGGATTGCAGTTCACAACCAGTCCAAGCAGAAAGTCAGTGAGACCCTATGTCAATAAGAAGTTAGGCAAGGTGTTTCATGGCTGTAACGCTGGCTGTGCAGAAGGTAAAGGCAGGAGTGTCAGGGTCCAAGACTGGGTTGGCCAAAACACAGACCCTACTGGAAAAATAGCTAAAGCAAAGAAAAGGCCAAGACATGGCTCAAGTGGTAGAATGCTGGCCTAGCAAGCACAAGGTCCTGAGTTGAAAACCCCAGTACTAAAAAACAGATAAACAAAAAAGAAGGAGGAGGAGGGTTGTATCCATTTTCAAAGCTAGTTCACACTGTGTCAAGAGTTTCAATGGTCTTCTGTAAACCTGGGTTAGATGCAGCAATACCACTCAGGAGACAGAGCAAGAAGACAAGTGGAAAGTGTATTTGAGCTGACACATTACCATTCTGGTTTTTACTTTGAAGCTTTTAAAGATGATCCAAGAAAATTTTACTAGCCAAGAAGAAATTGGTAAGCATAGACACTTTTGGTTTTTTGTGATATAGGGTTGGTAAAGGAGAAAAACGGTAAGAACAAATTGTTCACATTTTTAGAGCAGTGGTGAAATGGACTCAGAGGTTTCCTCAGCCCACATGAGAAGTGCATTTACAGTGGCCCAGCGTAGGTGTGCACACAGCAGAAGCACAGCGTTCACACCTGCCGTCCTGAGTGCACCTTAGACACGGGTGCCTCTCTCACCCTCTGAAGGCAGTCCTGCCATTCATTGGCGTGCATGGAGTGTAGAGATGTGGGAGGCCGTGCTCAGACCTTGTGTCCTAAAAGAAGCATTGGATTTCTGGCTCTATATGTCGGTTTTCTGAGTCACCTCCACAGTTCCTTCAGGCCGTGTCCTTGCTCACGTCTCCCATGTGGCCACAATGTTTGAAATCTGGAACCCAGACCTCATAAGCAAATGAGGGTTGAGTTAGATGTGAGATAGTGCATTGGTAGTAGGCACACACTGTTGCCACGGCTCCTGGTCACTGTGCGGGCAGAGCTGAAGGGCCACAGTGTGATGATCTTGTGATGATCTTTTCCTCAGAGCTACAGAAATGCTCTGGGAAATACTAACCTACTATTTTAATCTACGACGTAAGATGTCAGAATGCCTAATAGAATCTGAAAAAATACGGAACCCAGTTACTGCGTTCATGTGACCCGGTGTCAGCTTGACGGGATAAGCGCTGCTCAGATTGTCTGCTGAGCATTCTCCCTGGCTGTTCCTGTGAGGTGTTTGCAGGTAGGACTGCGATGAATCAGTAGACTCCACAGAGCAGAGCCACCTCCCTAGTGTGAGTGGGCAAATCCTGGTAGAAGTAGAATAAAAGGCTGAAGAAGGGACAGTTTTCTCAAAGAGTGAAGCATAAAACCTGAGCTAATATTATTAGAAGAAAGCACTATAAAATAAAATTTATAATCTGTGATGAGAAACTCCTATCTGAATAGGATTTAAAGACATGCACACAGGCCATAAAGGAGCTAACTGGTAGCTCACAGAATTTCAAAATTTCTTCATAGAAAAAGCAGAAAGAAATGACAAAGCAGGAAAATATATTTGTAACCAGAGTCCTGGAAGCACATTTCCTCAGTGTGCTGTGATAGCCGTTCACAGGGAGGGGGTACGGAGTAGAAAGAGGTTCGCCCTCCTACAACTGAAGAGCATTCCTGGAAGCTGCTAGCATTGGGACGCCTGAGGAAAACTCTCCAGTGCTGGTAAGAAGGGGAAGTGGACCCTCAACGGCCAGTGCTAGACCTGAGGCCCAGTAGTCTGCCTGGCCCTCTCTGGAGATGACCCCACAGTATGCTCAGGAGTGTTTACTAAGACGCACCCACTACCCACAAGCTCCAGAGTCCACCACTAAGGGATGTTCATATAGTGAGTGGCCACTGCCCAGCAGTTACAGAACCCAAGGTAGATAATGCTGAAAGAGATTTTCAAGAGATATAATTCAAAAAGGTGAAGAACCAAATATTACGAATATTATAGAATATTTTAAAACATATAAATGAGAAACTGATGGATTCAAGTATTTGTTAAAATTAAATGCAGTAGGAATCTTAACAGTAGTTCCTTTTACAGAGAAAGGTAATGGAGGAGGAGCAAGAGATAAGGACAGGAAGAGAGTTACTTTTTGTTTTTGGTCTTTTGAGACAGGGTCTCACTACATAGTCCACACTCACCTTGAACTCA